TAACGGAGATCGGGTGCCCGAGAGGTTTTTAAAGAAGTACGGGTAGAGTACAGAAGAAAACTAGTCAGAGACTTTGACGTTTCGGTAGAAACCTTTATTCTGAAAACACCAATTAAACGGATATATGGCTAGCAATGTCGTGCAAGACAGATAAGCGACGGCAATTTGTAGGACAATCTTGACATCCTCCAGTCAACCACCAACATCTACTCAAATGAAGAATAATTTACCTGGATTGTCCTTCTAAAAATGTGTATATAAATTCAGTTGTTTTAATAGAGATAGCTATATTGTGCATAGTAATATGGAACTTGACCAACAAATGAGTGAACATCTTCCAACATGGTTTATACAGTGTCCAATGAAGACAATACGTAGCTCCATTTTGGCTCGCCTGATTGACAGCAGTAATTTTGTAAATCACTTTGAGTATCCTATCGTATACCTCTAGGGATACTACCCCTAACTCAGGTCTCATTTGGTCGAAAAATGAACATTTCGGACATGAGACAAAGAATATTAGGAGTGTCTGAGCCCATTCGCATCAAGCTTGGCTGCATCTTCTGCTATGCTGCTGTATAGAGCTGAAAGTTTCCTATGAGACCAGGGGTTAACTGTGAACATTGTGGATGGCTTGGCTTTGCTTTTGCAAGCATCGCTAACAATCCATACGCAAATTGATAAGCAGGGCGACCGATTTCATTGATACTAGTGGTTGTTTTACAACATTTCCGAGGGCCTTTGTTATTGGGATGCAATATTGCATGTCACCACTGCTAATGATAATGAGTTTGATAGTCATGTAAGCGGTGCATATTGATTGACGCGATTATGGGTCGGAAATAATCACTATATAGGTACTCGTGTATATAAATGGTGTGAATGATCCACCAGAGTGTCAGGTACCTGTGTGGTTTCACCACAGGATTGAAGTGAACTGTTCATGCTAAAATGTTAACACGTGGGCAGTCTCCTTGGTTCTCCTGAAAACCAATGTAAAATTGCCCTTGACAATAGAGGGTTAATTTATATAATTGCATATCTCTGTCATTTCCCAATAGGGTTTGTTCCTGTCTCCTGCATATAGTAGAAGCTACAAAAGTCGGAACCAGTAATCCCGGTTTATGGGTTCAGGTATATAACATAAACGATTTTACTTTATCATTAGTATTTTCGTATTCTGTATTTGTTTTTCATCTTTCTATTTATAGTCTTTATTATCTAACTATTTTTCACTCCTCTTATTACGTAACTCTAATATCGTGTGATTATTATTCTAAGTCTCTTTATGCACGTTTTGTTAAATAACAAACTTTACTATGGTGATATCTCAAGGACATTTTTGTAGTTCGGTTAGCTATATTAGATCAATGTAAAATTTTTCTTCAGGACGTTTGAATCTAAAACAAATTTGTTTTTAAACAAAAGTTTGTTTTGATAGCTGATGTCTATTCGAGTTTAAAAACTTGACTTCAATCGCTTAACCCTTACTCTAAACACATAACCCTGACTAGGAACAATATAAACACCCTTAAAAAGAGGTTTCTGTTCTTAAAGGCACTCAGGAAGATAAGCGATCTGCATCAATAAGAAACTGTTTATGTAGTTGCTTCGTCGATTTACAGGCAAAGTAACCTGAAGAAATCATCACCTTCCTGTAAAAGCTGTTTTCTGATTGGATAACAACTGGTTAAAAACTCGTCACAGTTGTTTTAAGCTTGTTACTAAAGTATGCTTTAATCATTGGTTCTGAATGGTATTGGACTTCTTAGAGGTGAATATTTAGGACCGCTTGGCAAGAAATTGAATCCAATGCCACCTAGTCTTTGCGCAACTTCTAGACCACAGAACATGGTTGAGTCAAGTCACAAAATTTCTCGACCACCTTACATTACCTAAAGTTGAAAACTGTCACGTCCTAGTCATGGTTGAAATATATCTACGAAAATGTCTCGCTAGAATTTCTGAAAATGAGTCTTAAAGATGATCACTAGTGAACATACGATTATTATCAGCAGTGTAGAGTTTTGTCATCAAATGACATAAATGATCAGAACAGTACCAAATTTTCTGCTTTCTGAAAGATTCCTATAAGGTCAAACGACATTACGATAATGTTATTGAGTCGAATACAGTTTCTCAATAACTTAAAGTCGAAATTCTACAACTTACATGTAAAATTGATCAATCGAGCTATATGTTAGGACATTTCTCACATCTTATTCAAGATTATCTTGGAAAAACAATCAAGTGAGCTTGTTTAAAGACTTACTTATAAGGTACAATGTTGAGATTAAAGCTTCTGAAACTCTATCAAACTGTCATAACCATCATGATTATCAATACAATTAAGAACTACGTATGCGTTATCTTAAGTGGCCAATGATGGTAGACTGAGCAAATTTTTCAGTGTATACCATATGTAAATAATTTGAAACCAGGAGAAGACATAGGTTAGACCAATGAAGAGAACCAGTGAGCACCAGGAAGATAACTGTTCCATCATATTCTAGGGCTCACAAACAGTGTTCGTCCATGATCCCACTAGCTGTAGTGGTGGTTAACTCTGGACCATTGTATTCCTAGTGAATTTGAGATTAGGCGTTCTCCTGACAGACAGAGTATCGTAAAAGTAATCCCGGATGCTGGGGGCGTGAACAAACGCTGGTGATGAGTTTAATATTAGAATAAAATAACAATCAGTTTTTCCTGGTTTTTAACGGTTGTCTGACACAGATCACTTCATGATATCAATAATACTTAATATTTTCTACCAAACATCTACTCTGAGTAAATTTACACACTTCAAAAAGTGACTTTCAAAAGTTTATTTTTTTTGGAAACTCTTCATTTTGTATTTTTCTCTATAAATTTCTCATGCATGATTTGTAAAGTTTGCGTGTAAATCTAAACAGGTTTCATATGATCGGATATTGTACAGACATGAAGGAGGTCAAGTTTACTACTACTACTTATTATTATTATTTCAGTAACATGAGTTTAATTTCTATTCAAAAGAAGAGTATTTATTTCTTTAAATTATAGTAATGAGAAAGTTTGTCATATTTTAATTATTCGGTCATTTAAGGTAACTTATTTCATGGTTTAGCTGGTCGATAACATACATAAATCAGCATCAACTGATGATTTACAAAAGCGTACTGTCCGTATACTTAAGATTATTCAAGCCCGATTGTTAAATATGTCTATGACTGAAAACCGTCATTGACAGAAACGTGGCACAACATTCACTTCATTTTTTAGAGAAGGTAAATTTGTTGTTTACGTTAGAGTTTAAATGAATCATTCAAGGTACAAGTGAATAGTAATTTCTCTCAATATGATCCTAGGTGATGTAAAATCGAATTCTACAACAAAGATTACATTTATGTCTTGCCTGATGGTCGTCATCTTTTAAGATTCAGAGATTCCAGTCAACCGACTTCAGCAACATAAAGCTAAAAAAAGTATACAGTGGTGTTGAGTAACTTCATCGATTCAGTGGATTTACAGTGAACTAACTTCCCTACATTTAAATATACGTAACAAAAATTAATCATATTAGGGAAAGTTATTCCTTGATAATGTACTCATACTCAGTTGGTTAAATAAAAGTGTGTTCTATAAAACAATTTATCCTTTTAATAAATCTGGATAATGTCATAAGTAGACCATAGTTATCAGTGTTAGGCAAAAAAAGGTCATAATATTTTTATTCAATCTTTAAAGGTATGAATAATCCGTTTGTTGATATTCTGACTAAAATTTCATCAGTCTTGGTTGGCATCTATTTTGTAGCTGAAGCCATTGTAATACAAATTAATGAAGGATAGATTGAGAATGGCTAGCGATATAATCCAGGAGTTAACATTAACTTTGGAATTCAGTTACATTAAGCTAACAAGTCCTGAATAGAACGATACGTGTGTCGTGGATTCCATTGTTTGCTAAATTCTATCTAGTAAATATTAAGTTAGGTCATAAAAATGATTTTACCTTGACCTTTGTAGCATTAGACCAAAGTTGTCTCGGCCAAATATTGAGGTTTGTTGAGGCGTTGTAGTGAAGGAGAACACAGGTGAGGGCAACCGAATTGTGTTTAACGAAAATTACAGAGTTAATCAGTAAAATAGGAAAACCATATCGTAAACGGTTAATTTGCAAATCTTCAATCCATCCATTGTCTGACATTTCACTACTCATGCGTTTCATACAAATTCCATTGTTTTCCCACTCTTCTTTCTTTCTTGATCTTCCCCCATCTTGTGCTGTCAGACATTACGTTTACACTCGCGTCATATACTACTTATAAGTAGCGCGCACCACAGCGTAAGCCATATGAAAGCTTAAAAATCCCTTTGTATATTTAAAAACAGTTCGTACTCACATTGGATCTACCTTAATAATATTGAGTTATGATTGTTATGCTTAACACTTGCTATACTTGAAACTATTACGGTTTCACCTTAGTCGACGAACAAGAGCGAGACAATGAACCAGTGTCCAGGTAGGCTACTCTGATCCGCTGACCCAAAAGAACTAACGAAAACGTTTTGATAGAGCGTAGAAAGTGTATGCTACAAACTCCCAGCAAGCACAATGATCTCAAGAATACAAATCGCGTTTATTTATAAATCATCGTAGAGACGTCCTTGGGAGAGTCACATAAACAACACACTAAAATAACACAGTAACCAATCACAGCCAAGGATTTTCCTGGTGAGAAATGTGATCTCAAGGTCAACTGATCAGCCCATCAATAAAATCCAAAATTAAGACATTTATCAAGCGAGTCACTGGGGATCTAACGTCCCCAACAATTATCTAGAGTGATTATCAACTAAATGCATTGTGTTCATAGCTATTACAGAGTTTTCTTGCCTAAATTCTTTAGAAAATGTATACAAATGTTGATAAAATTCTTAAAATGTAGAGTCAATCAATAAATAATCACATTTTCTTTTGATTTTTCTTTGTTTATTCTCTTCATTATTCATCAGTGTGCTACCAGTTCATGTCATCGTCAAAATTCAGCAAATCATGAATGGGTACAACATTTTTGTCAATTAATTAAAAACACCATACAATTTACATGTTATGTACATGAAGATCATATTAATGAAGCATTGTTGCATAAATTCTATGGACCATCAACAATGTTCAATACATTGTTTTGGCCTTTAATCTTATTATTCATTTCAAGTTTATGCTTAATTATTACATGGTCATTTGATAAATGTCATGTATGGCATGATGAAAAGACAATCATTGCATAACTAACACATATGAAAATAGTGAATTTGCATCATGATAATTATTGTTAATTATGATTAATTATTCAATCAATCAATCGATCAATTAATTAATTAGTTAACTAATGGATTAGTTACTGAATTAATTAGTTAAAATAATTGTAATTATTGTAAATATTTATTATTATTGTTATTATTATTAAAACAATGGTAAAATATTTTCGGGCAGAGTTTTGGAGGTTTTGTGTTTTTTTTATACATTTGAAATCATCAGTCAGTCATTGTTAGACCACCATTAGAAACATGGAAGCACTGAAAGACGGCCGTTTCGTCCTGGTATGGGACTCATCATCCGTAGATCAATCATAGTTAGACACTAACAATGTTGGATGCCGGCCCAGTGGGTCGATGGTTAGGCGTTCGCGCACAATACCGAAGGTCCCGGGTTCGAACCCTGCGAGGTGGAGGAGTGGTGGATACGCACTGCTGATGATTCCCATACCAGGATGAAACGGTCGTCTTTCAGTGCTTCCAGGTTTCTAATGGTGGTCTAACAATGACTGAGTGATGATTTCAAATGTGTAAAAATAGTGAAATCGATTTGATGATTACATTGCACAAAGAAATTATTACAGAAGAGAAGAAGAGTTTATGTATGAAACCCTGTACACTGTTGAGCTTCATAAATAAGTGAATCATGTTTTGTGTTTATTTTCGGGTAAAATAAATTACTATTTTACTCAAGTTTTGAATATACAATAAATTTATCAAATGTCTCGGACTTATTTTACATTGAAACCAAGAAGCGACCAGGGGTAGATTAATATTAGAAATCTAGAAGTAAGGGACGGCTGTTTCGTCCAGGTATGTGTTACGCCTGCACGTAACACGTCAACTTAATATAATTGAACTAATACGAGTTTACCTAGTCGGAAAACGAGAGCGAGGATCGAGGATCCAGTGACACGACATACTACTCAAATCCGATTATCCCAACCCCCATATTTAGTTAAAAATAAGAAGACGTGATATGAAGTAGAACATGTATTCTATACGCATCCAGAAAGTACGAGGTCCGAATCCAGAAGAGAATCAGGATCCCGGACTAGTGATCCGGGACCGAGCCCTGGTCCTGGTCGTGGTCAATAAACGTTGCAGATAATGCGTATTTATACATTTTGGTCGAATAGGAAACAGCATCGAATTCTGTGGCATTGATAGATAAGACGACCAATGGGAAGTAACATTTGAAGTGACATTGATAGTCAGGACAAGCAATAAGAGACTACATTGAAGTATTTGACTTTGACAGTTAAAACGACCATAATTTTGACCAATATAAATCGACAAATAGGATTTGACCAATAATTCTCTTAGGATATTGGATGAATATCCTAACAGTATGGAACTCCTTATCAGAGCTCAGACACAACTCCTGCTACTCGCAGGACTCGAACCCAGGACTTTCGGTCTTGTTCGCGAACGCTTAACCTCTGGATTGTTAAGCCAGTATCTAACGCTGCTAATGTCTAACTTGATCAATTCACGCAGTTGCGCAACCTCAAACATTTCATAGGATATTTATCTGCAGCGTAAACTATTCCTTTTTTTGATTTAGTTCATAAAATATGCATTTTGGTTGTTGAAAATGTTACATTAAAATATCAAGCTTTTAAAATTCGGAATATTTTTTATGAGATTTATTTTTCATGGAAATAATTTTAAATGAAGAACTATTGACAACCAGAAAACATTAGGTTCTGGCTCATGACTATTTATCAGCATAAAATTTTGATACCATACTAAGTAGTGATATTTGACGACATGAAAGATTTGGTGGAAGGACTTCATAAGTGTAGAACTGACAATTCAGTATATATCAGTAACCTGATGCGAGATAGTTGTCTTAAGGTTCTAGTAGTACACTGACAAAAAATAAGTAAAGAGTGACTCTCACCGATAACACTGTATTGAGTAAGTAACATATCGTAAATTGTTCAAAGCTATAGTGTGTAATTCAGTTAAATTAGGATAAATGATTGATTGGTAGGATATGCGCCGTAAATTCTGAGGAATGTCATAGGCTGCACGGCACTAAGCAGTAAGGAATCACGATGCATCAAGTATCTGTTCCTCTAATCAATATATTGAGAAAACAATCTTGAAGTTTGGTGGTTCATAACCATGTGGCAATTTTTTGGGGCAGAGTTTTGGAGGTTTTGTGTTTTTACACATTTGAAATCATCGATCAATCATTGTTAGATCACCATTAGAAACCTGGAAGCATTGAAAGACGGCCGTTTCGTCCTGGTATGGGACTCATCAGCAGTGTGCATCCACGACTCCTGACGATTGTCAGCAATTAGTGTTAGATTAGTACAACTTTCAAAAACGACAACAACTTTGACAATGAAACTGACATTAGATCAAACTAACTAACAAGAAAGATTCGATTGAAAATATCCATTGAATTGATTAAAAGCAGTATTGATTGCTTTAATTACTATGAAAATGCCGTCTACAAATGCTAAGCTATAACAGCAAAGAATCTCATTTTTGAAATGATTACTTATTAGTAGGTCACAAGAAATTTCTACCACAGACATCACCAATGCATTTCAGATTTATGTAAATATCGTTTCGAAAAAGAAAAATCGCACAGTTTTAACTTTCAGTTTATAAAAACTTATTGTTATTGAAAATTCCCAGTGATTTTTAAAATTTTTTATACATAACTCCTTCACTAACTTTAAATATCATCAACCTGATAGCTAAGTACATATCCCTAGGCTAACTCTCAAAGTTTGAATAAATTTACTTCTATTGAAGAAATTCCAAAAGTTAATTACCGGTTCAGTTGAAATAGAGTTTTCCCTAGAAGTGAGTTAATCCCATGGTTCACATGGAATGAAGCAAATGCGATACAGGAAGGGAATAATGGTATTTGGTGTTATGTGTGAATATCAGTGTAAGTTTGTACAAGAGTTGTAAATTATTGATTGACTACTTGTACAACCTAAAAGAGAGTAGATAAAAAAAATACGATAACCATCTCATACTGTATCACATATACATATATGAGCAGATATACAGTTAATTACATGAGTGGATTAGATTAGGGGATATTAACTGAAATTTATTGATCTCCGTTTGACCCAGTTTAAAATCTGTCCCTGGTAAGATAAATTATATCGATAAACAGCTTACTACCTACCTACTCTTTACTGTTAAATCATACGCATAGTTCTTTTTATCATCTTGAAAAGACCAAAAACTAGATTTTTATTTCGGTCATTTCTCCTCAACTGCATGCATAATTTAAGTGCCTGAATAAAATATTATCAATGTATATATATGTCAACTAAAGTTCATTTCGTTAAAATAAGAATACTAATCAAGAAAAAGATTGAAACAAGTTGAGACGTCATTATATAATCAACTGAAAGCAAGAATTAAAGAAAACTCTTATGACAAGAATTCAACACGCATGAAACACTCACTCACTATATAACAAATTTACTTGAGAAAAAACACAAATCTTTCATTTTCTAGGGATTAAAAATTCAGCTCACTATTGATTGATTGGAATATGTTGGAATTTATTAACCAATCAGGAAACAATATTCAGTTATATAACAACTTACAATCAAAAGTAATAATATTAGTAATAGTTTCAATAAGAATAATTAACCCTACATGTTGAACTACTCTTTAATTTTATATTTTTGGGTGTTGTGCATGTGCTGTGAGTTCAGGTTATATATAACCTTATGAGGATCTTGTCTCAAGTTAACAGCAATAAAGCATTATTATTCTTTTAGTTGACAAACTTCTTAATTGTCATTAAAGAATAGTGGAGTTTGTTAAGTTTCGTTTAAGTCATGAATCGATTAATGTTAGACCAACATTAGTAAGCTAGAAGCAATGCAGGGTCGTTTCATTCTAGTACGAGACTCATTAGCGTATTCACGAATTCCGCACTCACGAATCGAACCTAGGACATCCAATCTCGCGTGCCAACGGTTAAACTCTAGACCACTAATTCAGTATCCAGCGGTGTTAATGTCTAAATTCCGTCAATCCACAGTATTGCGCGACCTCAGCCGCTCTCTTGAGTGGGTCACTGACCCACATCGGATACAGCTGATCGATCCATGATTTACTCAACAGCATCCGATTCCTTAAATTGAAAATATTTTACTCATTATTAGGGAACAAAAAAACCCTCATTTACATATTTCATTCGGTTGATAATGAGGACCTGCATAATGAACAAACGTAAGCGTTCAGTTAAACTTAACCTAATCTTGTATTCTAAAGTAAATCTTGAACTAAGAGAAGGTGATCAGATAATATATATATATATATATATATATATATATATATATATATATTATAGGTAGTAAGATTCCTTACTCGTTAGACAAAAATTTTGACATTATTGAGGTGTGTGTGTTTGCTTTGGATGGCATACATCTCTGGGTTGTGTATTTCAAATATGCATGTAACGTATATTTACCGAGGGCTATAGACTGAACACACTCACTTTCCTCAGTCTAAAAACATAAAAACATAACATAAAAAGCTCACCTATTTCTTTTGATATCAGGAGTGAATTATACGTGCGGTTAGACCCGTTAGGTCTGATGTTATTCCACAACTGCTAACAAAAATCCTCATAGTACGGGTGTAGTGAAAGAGAACACAGGTGGGACAACCGAATTGTATTTAACGAAAAATTACAGAGCTACTCAGTAAAATTGGAAAACTATATCGTAAATCGTTCATTTGCAAAATAACGGTTCATCATATCGAACTGGACTGTTCCTGTTGCAAAACATCAATCCATTGTCACTATTCATGCGTTTCATACAAATTCCATTGTGTTCCCACTCTTCTTCCTTTCTTGATCTTCCCCCATCTTCTGCTGCCAGACATTACGTTGACGCTCACGTCATATACTACTTATAAGTAGCTCGCACCACAGCACCACACGGGTATCAATACGATGTCTCACTGTGGTCTGAGTGTGAGGCTGCCAGATCTGAATGGGATATCAAAATTCAAAACCGTGACTTCGATCACTCATTGACGTA